GCCCGGCCTCCGCGGCTCCCCGGGCCCCCTCGCCCTGCCCGGCCTCCGCGGCTCCCCGGGCCCCCTCGCCCTGCCCGGCCTCCGCGGCTCCCCGGCCCCCGCTCCCGCCCGGCCTCCGCGGCTCCCCGGCCTCCGCCGCTCCCCGGGCCCCCGCTCCCGCCCCGGCTCCCGCCCGGCCCCCCTCGCCCGGCCCCGACCGTGGCGGCAGGCGGCGGGCTGCGGGCACAGCGGGCTGTGGCAGGGCACGCAGGGCCGCAGGTAATGCTCCCGCACGATGCGCAGCGTCCGGCCCTGGAAGGTCCTCAGCAGCAGCACCTTGTCCCGCTTCTGCAGCATGGCGGCGGCGCTGCTCCTCCGCGCGGGGCTCCGGGAAGCGCCGGGCGCTGGGCGGCGCGGGCGGACGCGAGGCCGCGGCTTCGGGCCCGCCCCTCGTTCCTGGGCGCCCGGGCCGGCCCAGCCCGCCCGCTCCAGGCACCGAAACCGCCGTAACGGCCCGTGCCCCGGGTTGAGTACCGAGGCCCGCGGGTACAATACGGACTGGGCCCGGTCCCCGTCTCTCCCTCCAGCGCCTAAATTTCTTCTGATCCCGCAACTGCCCGGGGCCAGGGAGGGGTGGAAACAATCCACCCAAAAGAATTTAGGATAATACAGAGAAGCTAATTTAAAAGTCTTGCGAAGAAATGTTTGGTGCAACTGTGAAGGATTATTATACTTTGTTTCTATCCCCAGGTCTATGTGGGAACGGAGTTGCCTTATTTAAGAGGCACTTATTAGTGTATTCTGTTCGTTACTCTTGCTACCTCTAAAAGTGGTAAAGATTCAGCACCCTCGTTGGATTGAACCCATTATTCTCTCTCTCTCTCTCTCTCTTTTTTTTTTTTTTTTTGAGACATGTCACTCTGTTCCCAGGGCAGGCTGGAGTGCAGTGGCGTCCTCCTAGCTCACAGCAACCTCAAACTCCTGGGCTCAAGGGATCCTCCTGCCTCAGCCTCCCAGAGTGCTAGGATTACAGGTGTGAGCCACTGAATCTGTCAAGAACCCACTGTTCTTCCAAGCACTCAACAAAGACTCTTGAGCTGCACCAGCAGCTTTACATACAAGTGTCCCATTTAATTTCCACAAGTCAAAGGAGTGGGGCATTATTATTCCCATTTTACAGACTATAAAACAGAGTTAGGGAGGTTAAGTGGCCAAGGTTACCCAGTTATTAAGTGGTGGGATCAATATTCAAGCCAGAGTCTGGCTGAGTCCAAAGGAAGCTTTGTAAGTAGTGTAATTACAGTGCCATTCACAGATGAATAAAATACAGGTCCTGCGTCTAAGGAGTTTAGGGTCTACTTGGTGAACTCTAGTTAAGGCAGCTCAACCAGCTGGCTGAGAACATCAGAGCGTGCTATGATGCTGAAGTAAACAGAACTAGGGGTGCCCTGCCGGATTGCTCACTTCACTCTAGGGGACCACATTAAAAAGAGCTGTGATCGCTCACTTATTGTACTTCTACTTCAAGTTACCCTGCAGTGTAAGATAATGTGAATGAGACCCGAGATGGAATTGCACAAATTAGGAAACAGCCCAGAGCTGGTCTACCAGCCAGAGGGCAAGGAGGGCCCAGAAGGCCATGGACAGCACAGGAGGCCTTCCCTGCGTCAGGAGGTCCTCGCTAAGCCAGCTCAGTTCTAGGGATCCCAGAGGACAGGCAAGTAGCCAAAGTTGTCTCCTCCGTAAAAGTGCTCCAGACAGCTGCCCACAATTCCTTCCAAAGTGATCCCATTTTCATTTTTCTTTTACATCTGATTATGTGGGCGAAGGGGGCTGTGATTTGATACTAATCTGTCCTTAACGTCTTTTAGCACTTAGCAGCTTTAAACTTTCTTCAAATTGGGACGAATGATCTTTTAAGGAAGAGAGAACCTCTGGGGTTCTATTGAAAGTTGGTTTTATCAGTATTTTAAATAATTCAAGGCCCATCAAGTATGTCCTTTGATTGCATTGGGGCAAAGATACACAAATTATATTTTTAAAGGCATGATTCCTTAGTTCTTAGAACTGATGGTCTAAAATGGACAGGAGTGCCTTTTTTGTTGGTTGGTTTGTTTTTTTTCTTTTTTTGCCTCACAGGCCATCTGATGCCTCTTGCCTGAAAAAAAGGTGTCTGTATTAGTCAAAATGAGCCAGTTTATGCTGCAGTAATATGCGACTTAAAAAAATCTCAGTGACTTAAAATGTCGCGCGGGTGCCGGAAAGCTCTGCAGTGTGCCTCTCTCCAGGACCCATGTGGAGGTGCAGGCCCTCTCCGGAGCACAGGTCATTGGCGAAGGGAAAAAGAGCGCTCTAGAGGGCCTCACACCAGCAGTTAAAAGCTCAGTCCAAAAGTGATGCCTGTCACTTCCACCTGTTGACCAGAACTAGTCACATGACCAGGCACCCAACAGTGGCGGTGGGTGAGGCAGGAAGTGCATTCCTACCTCGTGGCCTGAAGGCCCAGCGCTGGAGCCCTTTGGTGAACAGTATCTGTGACTACCCGAGCGCCCCAACTCACACCCCTTGTCCTTAAATGACTCAGTCTGCTCTGCCAGCACCTTAACACTTGTTGCTTGTAACTACTCCGGCTCCACCTACCATCTCTTGGGCATTCTACCGCTCACCTCTTTTTACATTTGATGCCCCCGCCCCCCACTATGAGCCAATAAGCCAAGCATACATCACCGCGTCATCTGTAATCTTTATCACAATTCTTCAAGGGAAATATGTGATTTCTTGTGGCAGAGGCTGGCTCTTTGTTCACCACATCCGCGTCTTCTTTTTCTCTGAACACACAGGTGAACCACATTTCCTAGCTTCCCTTGCAGATAGAGAGGTATGGCCACCTGACCAAGTTCTAGCTGGCAGAATGTAACCACACCATTTCCAGGCCTGGCCCATAAAAATCTCCCATGCCTGCCCCTCTTTCCTGTTCCACTGACTGGATGCCAACGCCCAGGGGATCTTGGAGGCTGGCATTAAAGATGTCAGACTCCCCCCTCCAGCTCCCCCCGCCGCCCAATCAACTTGGGTCCCTTGAAGGACTGTTCAGAGCTCCCTTGACCCTGGAACATCCATAGTGGACTCTTGTAAGGGAGAAATGAACTTTCGTTATAGTGACTAGCATTACCCCAACTAACACACCCCCGTTTTGTGAAGGAGATTACAGAATTTATCCAAGAGTTGCAGGGCTATTTGTTCAAAAACCCCTTACTGGCTATTAAATGTCCTCATGAAGCTGCTCGAGGATTTTTACAGTAGTTTCAAATCGTACAGTCCTCTAGGAGGTGGGAGAGCATCGGTGGTCTGTGGTGTTCTGGTTTGGTCCGGGCTACAGTGCAGTGCCACGCTGGGAAGGGTGCCTGGAGGCTTGCTTCTCTTTTCTGGTTTCCCTTTCCTTGTCAATCCAAGTGCAGATGGATAGCCCGTTGCCCAGACAGCAGAATGCAGTGACAGCTTTCGGCATTCTGTTCTGGTGGAAATCTCTGACTGTGGCTCCGTTTCCCTGGTGCATGACTTCAATCTTCTTCAGGCTGAGCACCAGTGTGCTTGCACTGCAGAGACGCTTGCAGCATTTACATGCTTTCTAGCAGATGTGCTCTGTGAGTGCAGGCATATAACCCACTACTGGGTTATAATCAAAAGGTCCCACCAAAAGATTAGCCTACGGAGGGTGGGACAGCTTTACAAAGGGCTCAGAGGACAAGGGAGGTTAAATGTATAAAAGAATTTCTGAAAAGTGAGCTCTAAGGACCAGAGTGGATTACTGAAGTAGCTTTGACATATTCTGTACTCATTTATTGTTACAATATAATGTGCATGTTGCAACACTTTCAAACAATAGTGAAGTATGCCAAGTATAAATGTGGAAGTTCTATTTCCATCCAAAGCCTACTCCTCCCAGGTAATTCACCATTATTGATAGCTGGTATGCATCCTAACAGTCTAAAAATAACCCACAGTTTATAGCTCTATGAAGAATTTGTCAACCTGTCAGTATCAGCTAATTACAGCTAAGGTTTCTCAAGCTTTTACTGGGTGCCAGGCACTGCTCTAAGCACGTCCTGTGTTTTCTCATTTAATCCTCAAGACTGTGCTTTGACTGTGTTACTACTGTTACTACTAAAGTAATAACTACTATTACTGTTACCCTAACCCTAACCCTAACAGTAGTGACCGTTACTACTATTTCTACTAAAGTAGAGAAGGATTGAAGTGATTGCCCAGGCCACGCACTCAATGTAAGGCAAAGCCAGACTTTGAACCCGAGCAGTTTGGCGACAGAGTCCACACAGTAGTGACTCAGCTGTGCCTCCTTTCAGCTAGCAGACAAGGGGAGTTACAGCATGGGGTGCATTTTATATGGTGGGCCATAGGTGAACCCAGTTACAGGCTTATAGAATTGGAAATAATAACATTCAAGTGTTGACCCCATCACTTACCTAATTTCCCTGAGCCTTAGTGATTTCGATCATAAAATATGGCTGGCAGGATAGATGTTGCTGAGTATTGATATTAATGAGAGAACAATTCTAAAGGATCATGTAAAGACTGTATCTGAAATTACCCCACATATCTAAAGAATCAGCTTGCTTTCATTTGTACTCCATCTCAGTGAAAGAGCCATTGGAGGACAAACGGCTGCTGAGATTACTCTGCTACTTGTATTAGGAGTAATTTAATTTCCTACATGGTAAAGGCTGTTAATCCTTGATTTTCACTTTTCCCAGCAGATTACAACGACTCCCTTTTGGCTTTCTAAACGCCCTGTGAATCCCTATAATCCACTTTGCAATGATTACTCTAAAATGTTCTACTTAACTCTTTCTAATTTTTTTAAGAGAAAATTATTTTGTGCTTACCAATTGTATATCTCAGCAAGATTTTTACTGTACTGATAATTTTGTCCTTTTACCACTAAGGGGCGCTGCTTCATTGATTTTTTTTTTTTTTTTTTTTTTTTTAAATGTCTTGGCTAAAGTCCCCTCTGTCCCTCTGGGCTGGAATCTGAGCAGTGGAAACTTGGCCTTTCACAAACTGGCGTTAAAATGCATCCAGTTACTTGAGTGAGACAAACAAACAAAAAACTTTAGTATTTTAATGATACCTTCATTCAATAAGCTCAAAGGTCCAAATACTCCAAAATTAATTAGAAATTAAGCTTCAATGATTTATACAGAAAAGAAAAAGAAAACTCAGAAAACTTTTTTAGTCTTAAAGCAGATTAGAAGAAAATCCAGTTGCATGAATAGCCATTTATAACCAAAAAATAGAAATATTATTTATCATTTAGTTTTTTCATATTGATGTTATTTGATGAAATTAAGTTTTCATTCATCTTATAGCATTATCATTAC